CAGAACGAAACACGGCGGAGGTCTAGTCGGCAGATCTAAAAAAAAAAACTAAATAAGAGGGGAGAGAGCAAACCTGATTTTGACAGAGTTTCGCTAGAAATGCAGAAGTGAGGAAATTGAAGCCGAACCCTCTTATTTATAGAAATATCTGGACGGTTATCAAGAATCATCATGAGCACGGCGACTCCCCGCATTTCTTCTCATTAAAGTTTAATCGGCATCTTCGACTTCTCCTGCTAGGGTTTGAGACGTGTCAACCCTAGTTCTGCATGTGTGGGCCTAGGCCTAACCTACATCATTTTTGGGCGGGAACTTTTCGCGCCCAAAATCACAATCTGGTCCTCATCACCGTGCCGATCAGAAATCCAGGTAATATTTTGCAGCCGACCAGAATTTATATCCAACAGCATTTCTTTAAATTCGACAAGCAATGCACCCTCACTTGTCGAACTGGGGGGGGGGGGGGGGGACTTACTGTTAGAGATGAGATTCGTACCGTCTCTAACAAGCCCGATATGAATTTTAGTCGGCCCATCTAACAATTCCCAGGTCGGCAACATAAAAGGAAACTCCTTGCCGACGAGAGTTTCCTATTCCGAACAGGATGAAGACCGACCTAATCGGGTATAAATATAGGAAGTCCTCGACTTCTCAACGGATCCGAAAATCATTAATCCAGACCTAGAGCAAACTAAGCAATCAGATTGTTCTAGCTTTTTGGTTAACTTTCCTTAAGAGTTTTAGGTCGGCGTTCTTATTCCGACGACCTAAACACCGTTGTATTCAATCAAGCTCCGGCTTCTTCTAATAAAAGATCTCTTTAAAACCTTCCAAACCCTAGTTCTTTCATAGCTCGAATTTGGGTTTTTACAGACTCTCACCACTCCTCCACCTGAAGTAAGGTATACCATACTAACCATTGTAAATACCACTCTTTTTTGTGATTGTTTGCTTGATGTTTGTGAACACTCTCCTTAGCATTTTTATTACACATACACTGTGTAATTTAAGTGTGGGGGAGGGTGTATGATCGACTGATGCTTGCATTTGCATTTGCATAGTAGAATAGGAACCATGCATCATGATTTCATAGCATCTAAGGCATAGAAAAAACCAAAAAAAATTGAATTTTTTTCAAAAATATTGCTTCACAAAAAAGAGTTTGATTTTCATGCATTCTTATAGGATTTAGACTTCATGCATTCATATAGGACTAGCTTGCTTGTTTAAATTGGGGACTATGATAGTACATCTTAGTTAATGCTAGTGATTTAAGAAAATGAAGCCCTTTTTTTTAATCCTTTGGTGCATTTGATGTTGAACTAGAAATAAAGCTGAACCACTTTTGAAATTTGCATTTGTGTGAGCTTTGTCTGAGATTGAAGCATGCTTTGCAATGATTTCAACCTTTGTTTAAGTGGAACCTAATTTGAATTCGCAATTATCATGCCTTATGCTTTTGTGATTGATGTCATGGATAGTTTAAAATATTTGGATCTTCTTATTCTCTTTTGCCACTCTCTAAAAGATCCATTTAGATTTCCCCACCCTTAACTAAACCTTCTTTCAAGCCAAAACATTAATAGTATGTGATTTGTGAGGCCTCTTCCATCATGGTTGTTGCTTAGCAAAAAGTGTTGGGTTGGAACTACAAGGGAAGTACTTCCATTGTAGAACTAGCTCACTCTTGAGTTAGATAGGTTAGGATGTTTGGGGAATGGTCTGGGGTTATCTTGGGTTTAGTTTTTAAGAGAAGCAAAGAATAAAAGAAGTTAAGGCACAAAAGAAAAAGGAGTGTGACACAAGAAAAAGGGTGGAAATGGCGATTCTAAACTCAAAGAAAGAAGGCTCATGTTCAAAGAAGTAAAGAAGATGCAAGAAGTTCAAAACAAGAAAGTCGAAAAGCCAAAGATGAATCAAGCACCAACATCACCAAATAAAGGAGCCAAACTCAAAAGAAGCAAATCGCCACAACTTGAAATTCAAAAGAAAAAGTATCCTCCAAAGCGATTGAAGAAGAAAAGTTTTTGGGTTTTAAAAATGGTTTAAGTTCTTAAAAAAGGGTAGCGTAGGAGGGTCTTACATTGCTTAGCTAGAATTAGGAACACATATTATAGATCTTGGGTAGATGGGAGTCTTCCTTTGTATGTGTAAGTTGTTCTTTGACCCTTAGCATTTTGCCAACGCACAACCATGCTTTTCCTTGAGGGAACCCTTTTTAAACACCAAAACCAGTTTATGAAGTGAGATCATTTTAATTCCACTAAGCCTTATCCCTTAGCCAAATGACACTTTCGCATTTGCATAAGCATGATTCACGGTTTGAGCATAATTGAATGTTAAAAAGGTTGTTTGATTTGATGAGCATGTGTAGGTTGATAGCATTGTGATCATTCTTGTTTTGTAATGAAAGTGGCTAAGTTTTTAAAGTATTCTTCCATAATGTGCACTATAGAATTAGGAACATGGACTTCATTTTGATTTATTATTAGCATTTTCAAAGATATGAGTTCCCATTTAAAACCTCATCACCATGTTAAGTGTTTGTTTGCTTGAGGACATGCAAAAACTAAGTGTGGGGGTGTTGATAGGTTGCTATTTTAGATCATTTTAGGCTGCATTTCATGCATCTTTTCCTCTGTTTTTACATTATAGTTTAGCATTTTAGTATCATTGGCACTTAGAATCAACATAGCATGCATTTAGCTTAGGATTACATACATTTGCATACATGTGCATGTTTGTGGTGGTTTTCAGGTTTTTTTGGAGTTTCTTGTAGCTGGGGAGGAGATGGAATCAGCTCATGATCAAAGAAGATGTCAGAAATAGAGTTCTTGCAAAGTCTGGTCCATATCGAGCAAGCATATCGAGCAGAACACCCGTGGAGTGTGCTCGATGCAAGCAACAAGACGAGAGGAAAAGGATCAGCACGAGGATTCCAAGACGTTGGTCTGCATCGAGGACCAGCATCGAGGAAAGACATCGATACGCACTGCACGGATCATATCGAGGTCGTATATCAAGTAGAACATCGACCATACAACCTCGATGCAACTCATCCGCGTTGACCACTTGACTTTTGTTAACCTTATCCTATCTTTTTAGGTTTTTATGCTTCTTTTGGCTCCCTACTATAAAAAGAAAGTCACAAAACATTATCTTTATCAAATTCTATTTTATCCAAGTTTAGCTTTCTATAAAAAAAACCTTCTCTAAACCTTAAAGGGCGATTTGCCTTAAGGATATTTATATATAATAAAGTTTGCATTTCATGGTTTAATCTAATCTTTTAATCTTTGTTCTTGCATCTTGGTAGATTAGATTTATCATCTTTGCATTTTAACCTCATCTAGTTATGTTTAACTCAAATCAATGGGATTAAACATGATTAGTGAGTAGTCCTCTTTAGATTTAGGGTTCTAAGTAGGAAATGTGGTGATTAAGATGTGATTAAGGGGTGCTTAGGCTTTTTTAGTGGCTCTCTGTTATATTCTTCTTTTGCAAAGTGATTAATGTTGATAAAGCTTGCTCCTTTTGATTGAATATGGTTTGATAGATGCATATGGTTTGCTTGATGTCTTGGTATCTCTTTTCTAAGAATGGTTCGCTTATTTGGCTTTATAGTCTAGTTTAGTCTATGTTTTCTTTGTCAGTGACACCAAAGTGATAGTTCACTACAGCTAGATGATTTTCTTAGGGCTAGATAATGCCGGTTTTGAGATTCTTGCTTGATGGTTAGATAATATGCATTGAAAGATCTTGCCTTTGCTTCATTCTTGTTCATTGCTTAGCTTTGTTAGGATGTTGCAAGTTTGTGCTTAAATCCATAATCTTGACTGATGTATAACTGCCTAGGTCCTTAATGGTTCACAAGATTGATAAGTTGATCTGAATTCTTGCTTGGGTGAGAGAGTAATTGCTTGATTGGTGCATCTCTTAGGCTAGAATAGTTCTGATCTTTATGCTCATGGTTGAAGGATATGCCATCACAAGTGCGTCCGACACTTCAATCTTGTTGAATATGAATTGCTTACTGACACCAAGTGGTTCCCTTTAGATACCTTGTTTAGGAGCATAACATTGAGAATTGCTTGCTTGTTAATGCTTGTTGAATGCCTTAGTAGCAATCCCCTTGTCACTCTTGAAAACCACTTTCCCACAATTGCTTAGAACCTTGACTCTTGCTTTTAATTAATTATCTTCAAAATCATCTTGCTTAGTTTTTGCTTTAGTAGTCATTTCTTGTTTAATACTTGTTTAGTCATTCTTTAAGTTCATTGTTTAGTTTTGTTCACTTGCATTTAGTTTATGCTTTCATTCCATTGCATCATTAGATTGTTAAACTTGCTCTTGCATAATCAAATTCCTAATCTTGCTTAACTTACAGCATTGTTTGCATCTCATCTTCCACAATTTAGATTGATACCTGATCTCTATTTTACAACTGATTAGAGGTTAAAAACATTTGAGTTTAGCTCAAAAAGTCTTGTTTCATCTCCTCCCGACACCATTCTCGATCAAAGGTTTATTCTTTCTTTTTCATTTTACGATCATTTCAAAGTTACTGGAAATGGATTGTGATAATTCGATCCTCATCCTTATTGATCTAGGTTGTTTTTTGTTTGGCTAAATTGTGCTGATTCACCCCGTTAGCTCAGTTCTTTGGATTAATAGAAATGGGGGTTTCCCTTAATTGATTTCTATCTTATCTCAATTGAGATTGTCTGTTTCTCTATCATAAACAAGGTTTCGTTTTTAATTTTTGTGATAGGTTTCAGAATTTTCCTAAATTAAAGGTTCTATCAATTTTTGTGTTTGCATTTCACTTTAATGAAACCTCTAGTTAGTATCGTGAGTGTTCAAAGTTCAGATCGAAACTCTCAGTTGCTATTAAAAAAGATAAGTTGGAATGTTGGTTTTCAAACATGAAGTAGATGGGGAGTGCCTATTTCTCATTGCTCTCCAAAGACTACTTGACACATATGTAAGTTGTTTAAGAACTTGTCACTCAGCTGCTGCAGAAGCAAACACCGTGCTCAAGTATCATCCTTGCGGTGAATGTTGTTTGGCATGGTTATTTTACAACTTAGGGCTTAACTTTGGAGAATATCTTTCAAATTCCTTTTGATATTTGGGTCTCCAGTCTCCACTATGAAAAGTGTTATTCTAAATATTCAGGTTTTAGTTGCTACACCTTCATGGCTCAAAGACCATATTGAGAACACTCCAGGATTTGCAACAAGGTTAAAGGGTGTGAAAGTCCTAGACCTTGATTAAGCTGATCATATTTTAGACATGGGTTTTCACAAGGACATTGAGAGGGTAATGTCCGTAGTTCTTAAGGATAGACAAACTTTTCTATTTTCCAACACAGTGCCTGAAGAGGTCTGTCTCATTTTCTTACGTAATTATATTGGTCTTGGTTTCCGTTGCCATAGTTCTTTTTGGTAATGGGTTTGATCTGTATTTTTTTTAGGAAAAGGATCGCCAAATCTTCTATATTTCTCTGGGGCGGGATCACGAGTTTGTCAATTGTGTCCGAAGGCACTGGAGAGACCCATCAATAAGTGAGACAAATGCCCGTGATTGCCTCACTGGAAAAACTTTGCTGTCTTCTTTACACACTTCTTCGAAAACACATTGCAGATAACGCCAACTGTAAGGTAAAAAAAAACTTCCCAGTGCCAGTTTGTGACTTGATTTTTTCTCGACTAACTTTGTGGTTCTTGAAGGTTATTTTTTTTTTTTACAAAAATGATATTGTTACAAAATAGTGGATGATCTACTTACTTAACTAAACTTAAATGTCAGAAAATCTATTCTAGAAACCCGCAGAGATTCTAACGAGTTCCACAAATCCAAAGGTTTGATTCTCGTAACATCTGATGTATCTGGTAGGGGAGTGGATTACCCTGCTGTGACTCTTGTATTACAGGCAAAATCAATCTTACCATGGTATATAACTCTTACCTCAACATCGCAAAGAAACTGTTTTCTATTATTTTTGGGTAAGAATTATAATATTTCATCGATTTACACAGGTGCGATTGCCAAAAAAGCAGAGAACTATATATATACACACTCGGAAGGAGGGATAGGGATATCGTTATTGGCACCATAGGAGGAAGACTTCCTATCATCTCTTCAAGTCTTTCCCATCATTAAGACTCCTCTGCCATCAATCGACCCAGAGACTGTGAAAAGGTTGAGTCTTTTTCATATTTCACTTTTAGCAATGAGCTTAGCTTTGTTCAAGGATACAAAATTTAAAATTCTCTTTTGAGATAGAAACTGAAAAAGCTTCATTTGATGGGTATGATAAAAAGGAAGTTGGAATTCGAATGAACAGGTGCAAAAGACGCTATGCGATGAGGAACAATGAGCCGGTGTATCATGCTTAGTTGGGTTACTACAACTCATAGAAGATGATTGGAAGAGACAAAGACAGGCTTGTGGTCCACAAGTTGTGGAGTTAGCTAACGAGTTTATTTGGTATAGGACTTGACAAACTTCCTGCTATACCAAAACTTAGTATTCTTAAGATGCCTCTCAAAAATGTTTCGAGTCTTACCGCCAAATAGATATATCTTTCCTGTACTAAGATTTTCTTAAGATAAAATTATATTAATAGCTTGTTTTTTTAAACACTGATTTATTAATCTATTGAAAATTATGAGAACTGTTACATCGACGATTCTACAACAATCAATTCTACTGTCTTATGAAGATCCAAGATTATTGGCTCTATCTGCACCATGCATGCTTGCACCACGCTGAAGATCTCTTGTAAGTTTGCCTCCATTAATTTGCATCATTCTTTCATTAATCTGTATAATTAAGAATAAATCGTGCTCTCTGGGACTTGAAACTCAGACTTCCGTGTAAAAGCATTAATAAACCCTTATTAAACCATTGGACTAAGGAAGCTTCCACATATTGATAGCTTCTTCGGTACGTAAAAAATAAACTTTTCAGTTTTTCCAATTTACAATTCAACAATCTTAGTACATGATCTTCCAATTTTTATATATAAAAAAGAAACGCTAGGCAATAAGATATTTTACTATGTTATTAACTGTTTAGGCTTGACTGATTCAAAGTTAATCCAAAATGAATCATATATGATAAACCTAGTGCAATAACTTTATATAGAAACAATAACAAAATAATGTAAAAGAGTAGACTCGGAAAAACTTTTAAACAAATAACATATTTGCAAAAAGCTGCGTTATGTGCGTTTCTTTCATTGTTATGGCAATTGCGACACACAAGCTGGATGAGTACACTATAGAAGGAACAACAACCTGGAATCAACAGAATAAATTTGGTTACTTCCAAAATATAAAAACGGAAATATAGCGAATCCATTTGTTGGAAGAAGATGGTGATAGTTATTACACCAATTCTCACAAGTCAACTTGTTGAGACGATTGGGGAAGAGAATGAGAATAAGAAAAAAAGAACAGCAGCAACTTTTATGCAGTCATCAGTTTCTAAGGAAGATGATGCATGGTTGGATTATTTGGGATGATCATGGTACCAAAGATGATGGGTTAGATGGTTATTACTACAGTGTTGGCGATAATAAATCAATTTCCGCTTGGACTGGTGGAGATTTCTTTAAGAGTACGTAAATTTAAAACTCAAGTAGCTTTAATTGTTGGTATTGCTGTAATGCTATGTACAATATTTTGGGAGATGATTGGAATTCTGGCATACGAATATAATGAAGTAAGGCTGAAACCGTCAACACGTTAAAACCATTCTCATCCATCACAACAGGTTTTTCTCTTCAAAATTTTAATTGATATTTTGGCATTTATTCTTCTTTTCTCATAAACTGAAATTTGCGAGATATTATTTTTGGGTGTGAATACATTTGTAATCGAGTGTGTACAAAATATTTTGGGTTTAATCAATCTTGGAAAAAATAGATAAACCTAAAACCCGCGCTACCTGGTAGAGATGATAAAGACACAGTAAGTATGGAATATTAAAATAATTTATGAACAAAATAACTACTAGAATCAAATATTTCACACTATTTCACGACAAATGGATAATACAGATAACAAATTAGAAAATGATGAAAATAGTTTAATCATGAGTTACCAACCACTTTCATACCTATTTAATTCTATATCACCACCCCTTTTTAAATCTTTAACAAAACCAGTTAAACTTCCAGAAAATAAAATTCTAAAATCTATTTCAAGTAGATTAGACCGACTAGATAAAAATAAAGGTAATAGTAATATTGATGAAAATAGTCAAATTAATACCAAAAAAGAGATAGAAATCATATAAAAAGAAAATTTCAACCATCAACAAAACCATACTATCCTAGACACTCTCCACCTGACCTTTTATTTGTAGAACATCATAAATTCCCTACCATAAATATTTATACCGAAGAAGATATATATATGGAACATAAAATGTAAATCAGAATACAAAATGATGAGTATATTTCAAGAAATGGGGATTGCTGGTTTGACTTATAAAGCTAAAGGCTTATCAGATAAACAAACATTTGTCCTTTTAGTTTCAAGATTCAATGGAGCGCTAAAATATTGGTGGGATAATGCTTTAGACACTATAGCTCATGATACTATAATAAACCACACTGAAACTAGACGGATAGAAGGAGAAGATGGATCAAATGAAGATGAGCAAATTCAAAATGATGTAGAAGTACTACTACATATTATGACTATGCACTGCCTAGGAAACTCATTAGAAGGATTAACAAGTAAAAAACTTATTTTAACAAACCTTAGGTGTCCAACTTTAGGAGATTTTAAGTGGTATAAAGATATATTTCAAAAAATGTTTTTAATCAACCTTTCTGTAAAGGAAGGTTTACAGCATAATTACCTTTATTCGTATCAGAAAGCTTACTAAGTAAATTAAAATAATTTGCAGGAGGACATCCAATACCATGGGATTCAATAACTTATGGTCAATTGTTTGCCTTCATCGAAATGCATTTATTATAGTAGAAACCGATGCATCATAAATAAGTTATGGCGGAATCCTTAAACAAAAACTGTCAAACGCAACCTATGTGTCTATGGTCCGTTTTCATTTTAGACTTTGGCCCGAGTCCCAAAAAAATCATTCTACAGTGAAAAAAGAGTTTTATCTATCATAAACTATATTTCTAAATTTCAAGATGATTTAATAACCAAATTGTTTTTATTACGTGCTGATTGCAAATCTGCAAAAGTGATTTTACAAAAGGATGCTTATTTAGTTTCTAAAATTTTTTTTGCAAGATGACAAGCTATTTTATCTGTTTTTGATTTTGATATACAATATATAAAAAGAAGAAATAACTGTTTATCTGATTTTATAACAAGAGAAAATCTCAAGATCTCCAAAATGAATAAACATAAAAGGCTAATGTCTATGACAGACTACGTCGAGAATCAACCACATCTATAAGGCAAACAAGTCACCATCGATAATCAATTCTCTGCATTAGCAGAATTCTTATATTTATCCTATGCAAAAGCCATTAATCCACATTCTAAAAAAACAGTCATTCTTTCCTCTCCGCAAAAGAACTATTGACCAAAAATCCTCATATCTCCTTAACAACACTATCAACACCTCATTACCATGTCCTTTACCAAACTAATATCACTAAAAGACCTAACCCACTTTACCAACTGCATATTTTACGAGGATAGCCAATATCTCACCGGTAACCTTACTAAAAACCGGACCTCTATGAATTTTTCTCGTAGACACAAAGTCGGTTAAAATAACCCATGATACTGATAAGACCAATTCCGACCTTAAATCATATTCCTCATGTAAAATCTTCAGGGTATACAATCCTCAAGACCTCTGGTTCTTTAACTTCCATACTAGAAAAGAGTTCTCTATTATGGAGTATCATATTTTAGGGTTTACTTATGTGTATTACCAAAAAGCCTTCCTACATACCTTTTACCTACGAATCTATGACCTATCTTGGTTTATATCTTTTGACTTTTATTGTTCCAAACCAATATCTGGATGGTTCTATGAATGATGACACTGGTTTGGACTATGTGACCAAATTTATCCTCCATAAATACTCAAAGTATCCACTAAACACGAAAAACATGAACTCATAAGCCCTTTACCAAAAATATCCTTCCACATTGACATGGGGGCACCTTGGATCCCATCCTGACACTTTAACCTAATACACTTTTTACCTGATATGCCATACTCTTTGGTCCAGGAATACATAGTAAACTGGTGGGACAAATACAATTTAAACCGCTGTTATGTCACCAACCTAGAAAAATGGATACAAACTCATGGTCAACACAAACAATTTGTCACAACGTTATCCCAAGCATTGCAACCTATTCAAACAAAAACCAAAAACACCGCCCTTAAAAAAACAAAACCAAACAGTTTAACAGAGTGAATAACATCATCCTCTGAATCCAAGAAAAGCAACGACAAAGATATACTCAAAAATATCTTAGAAGCCACCGCTCGGGATTGCTGTAACAATATATATATATATATATATATATATATCGTTTTTTGAAGACGATGATGATACTACACAAAATGCTACACAAAACGATTCATATGGCGGCCATTTTCTCAAGATCCATTCAGCAATTAAAACATCAAGTT